ATAAGCATAGATAATATTAAGAAAATAAATATTTCTTGTTTATTATTCCTTTTTTTACTTAATGAATTTATTCTATTATGTATATGTATTTAACATTATTGTTTTATTTAAATAGTTGAGAAGAACTGTTGTTATCAAAACTCTAGCATTTTATTACATTACAGGATTCAAGACTATATTCTGAGTTGCAAAGTGGAAGGAAAGACAACCTGGAAAACATATCACTTACAATATGCACTGGCATTGATATGGTCAATATTAATTACACACATGTTGTGTGTCCAGATGCAGAAACTGCTCAGGTAATCAAAAACACTCCATATTAACTTTTGATCAAAGCAAACTACTTACTTACTTATATCACCATTAAACATTTACTCTGTAATTAATATACCTAATGAAATATGTATGAATCCAACTACTTTGCTTTGTCTTAAAACAACAACTTACAGCTCTAAGAACCCATGAGTGAAAGCAAAGGAGAATATATCATGTCAACCCACTGCATCTGCTGTATGCAATGCCAACAAAGCTTTTCACCCAATGCCAGGGCTCATAAAGCCAACTGAGATACAACAGACATAGTAGGGGTCTAGGTGCTATATATGTTTGAGCTGGGTTATTTAATTGATATAATTGATAACGTAAAAGCAGTGATTACATAGAGTAGTGACCCATAGACTAATCAATTAATCAAAATTATGATGAATCGATTAATGTCATGAAAATAATTAGCTAATTAAAATTAGTGCTTTTGATTATTCCAGCAGTCAATTACTCAAAATATTGATTAAATCAATTGTCACTAAAATAATCAAGTAATCAAAAATTGAGTTTTTGATTATTCTGAATATCCAAGAAATATTGAAATATTGCCATTATGTTTGTTATTAAGCACAAAGTTACACAATTGTCAGGTGGGGGATGCTTCAGGATTTGAGGGTTTCAGGTTTGATTTCCACTGCTACTAAAATTACTCATCCTGTCTTTGTTATTGAATGTTCTAAGGCTATCTGGCATCATTATCACTAATTTTGCACTGTTGAATAGAGGGAAGGTAACTGGCTGGTAGCACCAACTGCCAACTCTCAGGCTACTAAAGTGTAGTTTTACTATTCTTTTACACAGTATTATATCTCTGATATACAATTGCATAAATATTATTTAATGTTGTATAAGTAGGAACAGATCTGAGGGAGTGACTCAAGGGATCCAAGCCCCTCATACATTTTTGTTTCAGAAATTAATATCTGTATTCTTTAATGTTGTATAAGTAGGCACTGATCTGGAAGAGAAGATCAATGGATCCAGGCCCCCCATACATTTTTGTTTCAGAAATTAAAACTATATTTTTTAGTTGTGTATAAGGAGGCACAAATTTAATGGAGGAGTCCATGAAGCAAACCCACACACATTTTTTTCAGAAATTAATAACTGTATTATTTAATGTTGTATAAGTAGGCAAAGATCTAGGGCAGTGTGCACCTTCTTCATTTGTTTTTCATAAATTAATAATAAAATAGCCATATAATATCAAAACGAAAAATTGGATCTGAGCATTTTTACTTCACTAGTCTTTTTCAGTTTTTCTGAAGTAAAGCTGCTGGAATCTACAGCAATTCCGTTACAGCCTAAACTAGTAGCCAATTATATCTAAACACATATAATAATATGAACGTCAATTAAATGTTGCTGTAGTAAATTTTCATGCCTTGGCTTTTTCAAGACACTAACAATGTGTGTGTGTGTGCTCGAAATCTAGATTTTAGATACTTTTTTTTGTCAAAGTTAGTGTTGCTTAGGGCACTTGCAGCTCTTGTCATATATACACGTTACAAAATCGGTTTTTCATTGTTTGGAAGTTATAACAAAAAGATGTTTTTGTATTGTTTATGTTCAAAATAAGCAAAAATGTAAGTTTTATAACATATAAATGCTGACCTAAAAACAAAAAAGTGGAAAACACTTTATGAATGCTAGAATGCTATTTATGAATTTAGATGTATGCTTTATAATTTTTTTTCTAAACATAAGTATAATTGTTTCATTCAAATTACAATATTTGAAATGTTTGTTTTTAAATGTTTTATTTTCATATCAATCACATTACTAAAAATAAAGATATAAACTTTGAATTCTTTGGATTATTATCTAACTGAGCTACTGATAATGATTTTGTGGACTTTCTAATTGATCTTATTTTTAAAGTTACAAGAAGTTTGCAGTTATAAATATAAAAAAAACAACGAAAGTGATATAAATTTACCAATAATGGTAGAACAGGTCTATTTGAACCCCTCCCTTTTAAAACATCTTAGATCACCCCTGTTTTGTGTACATTTCTCAAAGTATGGATCTCTGAGAATATTTAACATAATCTGAAACATGCATGAATCATATGTTTGAAAAATGTTTAACAAAAGTACTCCATCCAGTGGGCTTTGACATTTCTCTATTTAATTTTATTTTAAAGAACAGCAGTATTGTTTATCAAATATCATGTACTGATTTTTATTCATGTTTTAAAAAATGATTTTATTTCCAACAATGAAAGAAGTATTCAACTAAATTAAATATGATGTATATCTATAGTTGAAACTAGTCACTTTTATATATTTTATTCTTTATGTTTTAGGGTTATAAAGTTTATTAATTAAGTTTATAATACTTTGCTGTTTGAAAATGTCACAAAGTATTATGTTTATTTTCATTGACAAAAATTCATTAGTTTCAGTACAGCATTATAGAAATTTGTAGGAAGAAACCTGTGGAATATTATAACTCATATTTTTTCAGGTTGTTATAGGTTTAGTATTACTATTTCTTTGCAAGTATAATGAGTTAGTGAGCAGCCCATGGACTTAGTCATTGGGTTCGACTATATTCTTGTTATGAAGTAATTTATTTGGATTTTGAGTCCTACTGTTGCAAGCGGGTTGCATAGGCCACCAACATGAGGAGGTTTACATGCGGAATAAAGAACTTACAACGGGATACAAATCAAATAACTTCTTTATTATACACTGTTGAACGGTTGATTTATATCAAAACTCTGGAGGCTATTTTTCAATAACACTACTTCTAAGTAACTGAGTTCTTCATTTTGAAATTCTAGGTGTTCGTTAATAAGCCCTTCTATTACATTCAATAACATAGATACAACATTAGTTAAGTTATCAATTAAGTTAACATGAGAAATTCTCTTGATCATAATCTGTATAACTGATTTAATAATTCTTCTACTTTAAGCATTTTCAAATCTACTGTTTCTTTACTACAGTTAATGTTCTTCACTTTTCTCTCTTTATACATTATACATTATTGAACCTTAAGTGAAACACTGTTAGACCAAATCATAAATAGCATACTTACAAAGAGTTTGTGTGGCAAACTTCTTGGATTACTCCATCTTCTTCTTGAGTTGGTTAAGTGCAGAGAAGTTGGAGAAGTGCTCATTTAAAGTCAGAAACACGGAATGATATACACAGTTTTTAGTGTTTTTCTGATTGTTTAAGGAGTCTAGCAGATCTACTTTCAAAAGTACTTCTTTTAACTCAATTGGTAGAAGTGGAATCTTCCAGCAACAAGTGGATTATTCCATCAGACTGTAACCCAAATCCACTTTGTTATTGATCCTTACCGAACTTATTTCTGTCCCTTATCTAATATCTTTGGTGAAATCATTCAAGACAATTAACTTATGGTGTATAGAGACAGACTGTATAGAGCTGGACTCTTCACTAGCAGTATCCCACCTTTGCCTTTCATTACAGTTCCATGGGCTCATTTCATCATGGAGTTTTCTCAACAGACCACATCTGCGAGCTGTGAATTCTTGCCAGAAGGTCATGACTGGAATGTTGCTTTTAGCTTATTCTCTATATGGCCTCAAGCCTGTATCTTCCCTATCTGGTATTGTGTTTCACGAGTTGCCGTACAGGCTTTCTTTTAACATTTTTGCTCTTCTGTTTTCTCCATACTATACATTATAAAGATGTACTTCTTGAAAAGCTTCACATATTTAATATACTTAGTATTTGTATTCTACAAATACTTTGCAAGTATGATACATTTTCATGTACAACAGTTTAGGATGTACAAAATAACTTATCCTAAATTATTGTACCTGAAGAAAGGGCTTCCTCTAGCTTTTGATATATTTTTGCCACAAATTTTTATGCCTATTTTATATGTTAATTCTAAGTAATGAAACTATTTTAACTCAAAAATATTTTAGAATCAATATCTTGTCATATTCTGACACTTATTTAGTGTAATTAATGAAGGAAAAAAGTTAACATTTTTCATTTCCACACAGTTGCAAAGAGTTTTGCCTGTAAATAAAACAACCTAATTGTTGATTTTTGTTAAAATGTTTCTGTGCATCCCAAAGAATAACATTGTTTTTACTAAACACCTCTTACCCCTTGAAAATATATTAGCCATTTCTTGATTTTTCAGCATTTCCCTTAGTTTTAATTTTTACAGGCCTTGATTGAAACCTTGCTATGATGCCACATCAAGTGGTTTAATCATTTACTGATACAACATAGCTTTGAAAGCAGCGATAAAGGAATTTTAAATATGACTGGGTAGAGCAAGAATTAACTATTGCATATTAATAGAGTAAGTAAGTTTAAAAGTTTTATAGTTTCTGTAATTGTTTAAAGTGAATTGTGAAAGTAATTGAATTACATCTGTTTGAAAGCTACAAAAATTGTCTTCAGTGAGAAGAATCAGATAACTTAAGATAAGGTAGGTAAGCTTATACAGTTTAGACATGGGTTGAATGGGTAACAAAGAAAACTTTATTACAAGTTTAACATAGTAACAAATTTACAATGTTTAGAGAATGTTTTATCATCAGGTTTAAATAGTTTACCTAGACACAGGAATCTGTCATGAACGACAATAATGGTTCGTAATAGGGATCACACAGGAATTTGCTCAAAACTGTAATAGAACATTTGAGCAAAAACCACTTTAAATAGCAGACCTATTTTTGAAACAACACTCAAAACCTTCATTTTCAATAGTTAAGACCACCCAAACATTGATAATAAGCAAAATAAGTGATTTCATATTTTGTTATTAATATTATTGTTTCACAAACCTACAGAAAAATTGGCTGGGTATTTTGCACCAACATCTAGACAGATATACTATATAAAACTCTGAAAATCCATGACCTATTTAAAAGTTGATTTACTTCGTTATAAATACATAATAGATGCAATGTTATTATGAGTGGCTGCCTTTGTACTTGATGCATGTTAAATGTGTGTTTACACAAAACTTTTGGGAACAAAGCCACCTGGCTCAGTAAATAATTACTTTAGAAGAAACAAAACTTTATTTAAAGCAATAGTTTAGACATATTTGTTTTACTGTTTTTCTAATGGTAAAATGATAAATGTAATTAGTAGGGGGTTGTGTCTTACTCTAGGCAAATGTTTGCCTATTGCTGTGCATTAACAAAGTCAACATACAAGATAATTAAAAATTGAGAATTTAAAATCTACAAATAGGTATCTTAAAAAAAGTAAGCAAACAAGACTGGAGATCTACTGTTGACAGTTTCCTCAAGCCACAAATCCTATTATGACTCCACTATAAAATTATTGCAAGTGATATCTACTCTAGTGAGGGATTACAGGGGAACTTTGCAAAAAACTAAGAGACTAGTTTTAAACTTAATTCTCCTTCAAGTTTCGCCATAAAAAATCCAGTGTTTTCCTAGCATGCACATTAGTTGGAAACTACAATTTGTGCATTTTGTAGTGTATTAATTGGAAACTACCACATGAAAGGTTCCCTATTTTGCTTTTGCATATCATTGCTTGAGTCATTATTGTTCATTGTTACTCGAGTTTTCTGTCTCTACGTGGACTTCTGTGACTATATTTCAACAAGTTTTTAACAGTGGACAATTACCATAGTAGATTTCCCTATTCAGACGATGGTGGTGAGTCTTTGTACTATTTTTTTATACTTAGTTGAAATCGTGAGTGCATATTGAGTATTCATTAATACTGCATATAGCACTATTTCGTATACCTATTGCTATTTTTAAGTAGTTGGTGTTAAGGTAGAAGTTGTAAATGTTGTTGATAATTGATGGCTTACTCTAAGTGTGTCGTTGTTGTCTGCTTTGCATGCATTATTTCTGTTGCATTATTCTAGCAAACACTTGTGCACAGCAGGCTATTGAAAAACATACATATGTGTCAGGTAGACCTAACAAGGTAAGCATGTTACTGTTTACATCGCATTAATCTGTGTTTTACCATTTTAAAAGAAACATTATTCCATTCTGATGAGAATGCTTTTTTTTGCTGCTCATCTTTTGTTACATTACGCTGTGATATTGATGGAAGCTGGTCATTAAATCTGTGATGATACAATCTTTGTTTTCAAGAGTGTCCTTTGAGAACAACTTTACATTTTGTTTGTTGTATTTGCATACCAGTAGATATGTTTATTCTTTGTTGTACACTTGTTATTTATTTTGAATATGCATGTATATAGCTTAAACTTTATTTTCCATAAACTTAAGAAACAAGATTAGTAAAAATTGTTAATTTAAAAAAGAGGGAATAGGGATTGTCAAAAAGTATGGAAAATTGAATCAAAACGTAAAGATTATATTTTCAAGCCTACAGCTAGGGACTCTAAGAAAAGTCTACCTGTCTACAATACATATCAATTTTATGGAGTCAAAATAGGGATTTTAGCTTGAGAAAATAATGTAGACACTATTTCTAGCCTTGTATGTTTACTTTTTTTGATCAAAACAAATTTATGGCTTAATGAGTATGGTAGGCGATTGCAAAATATTGTAATGACTCAAATCTTTATTGAATATTGTTCTTATTTTTATCTTGTTCAAGTAGCATATGTAAATAAATTATACTGTTTAACTGGCTGCTTAATTATTTGTAATTGTAATTATGGCATGTTTTAAGTAAAAATGTTATTACCCTTATTGTGAGAATAAAACATGTATATAAGCTTATTTATGTTATAGAAAATCAGTGTGAGATTACTGCATGTTTGAAAAACAAATAATGGTGATCATGTATTGGTATTTAGTCCATGTAATGATTCATGTGCCAAGTGAGAAATGCTCATAAAACCTTTGGGAAAATATTTTTTTGACAAAAACTTTGTTTTCCACAAATATGCAAATGACCAATTTCAGAAGCGGTCAGTCATATAAAATCAAGGATAATTTGAAAATTACTAAAAAAAACAAAACAATGTGAAAAAATAGGAAAATTAATAACACGTTATGATAATTAAGTTGTTGAAAAAATTAAAATGGTAAGTACACATACATTTTTTTTACTTGCTTGAGTTGTAGGGGGTATGGTGTACTAATTGAATTAGTGTAATATATTATTGAGCCCATCACTTAATTAATTAACAAATACTATTAATTGCCCAACTCTACCATATATTAGGTCATCAAGAAATTAATGTCGTTTTTTTAGATGAAAAAACCTGAACAACTTATATATCAAAACAAAATATTTTGTAAATGAAATAGTCTACATTCTTATCGATGATGCTTTTCCATCTTAGAATCATGTTGTTAATGACTTGATTAAAGAAATCTCTTGGCTTTGAAGCAAAAACCATGTCGATGTCCTTTTTAACACCTTCCACATTTGCATACGTTTTCCCATTAAGATGCTGTTGCAGCAAATGAAAAAGATGGTAATCTGATGGCGCCATATCTGGAGAATATGGTAGGTGGGGGAGAACTTCCCAACTCAACTCCATAATCTCATGTTGCATCAAACGTGCCACATGTGAACATGCATTGTCATGGAGAAGAAGTACACCTTTCCAATTGACGAGTAAAGGGCATTTCTAATGAAAGGCTTGATTTGAACATTCCAGTTGCTGACTATAGATCTGTGGATTGAGGAGTTCGAAATGAATTATTCCTTTGATGTCCCACCAAATGCAAAGCATCACTTTCTGCATATGGAGTCCAGGTTTTGGGGTCGGAAGTGGTTTTTGTCTAGGATTGAGCCATTGTTTTTGGCATTTAATATTTGCATAGAGAATCCATTTTTCATCACCGGTGACAATTCTGTCCAAAAAGGGTTCACACGCATTATGTGCCAGAAGAGACGAAACAATGTTCACATGTTGGAAACGATGATCATCGAAGATTTCGTGAGGCACCCAAACACTTTCTTTATGGAGTTTTCCCACATTCATTAGATGTTTATGTATTGTTTCATGAGAGACATGCAATTTCAGGGCCATTTCATGAGTGTGTTGCCTTGGGTTAGACTCCACAAGTATGTTCAGAGCATCATTATCAATTCCAACATGTCTGCCCCTGCCATCACAGTTTTTAAGGCTAAAGTCACCTGA